GCCTACACCATTATCTCGCTCGCGATCTCGACGGTACACGTTGTACCCGGCACAATTCAACAATGTTGAATTGCTGTCCAACTTCGTCTCTTGGACCGCAGCTATCAATATACCATGCCTTCCCATGAAGACGGTTATCTCCTCGATCTTGCTCTGAAGTCCGTTACAGTTGAAGGAGCTTGATGTGGTTCGGGAGACGTGTAGTTATGCGGGGTGTGAGGGATGTGTGTGGCCTTGCCGCCATTGGCTGTGTGCGCTGCTGTCGAGGTTGCCACCCTGTGACGGTAGTGGGTGGCGTCGCAGTTGGGGTTTGCGACCGAACAGCGCAACACGGGCCCTCGAAGTTCCTCGTCCAATCTCGCGGGGTGCGCAGACCTGAACATGCCCTAAAGTGGCACCAGCCAAGGCAGGTGGTGCACTGGACTGATGTCACATTACGGAATGTCCTGGTCTGACATACCGTGCAGAATGTAGGAGGAACCAGGAGTTGTTGGCGGTGGCGTGTTTGTGGTGTGCGGTTCTGTTTGCTATGTGGTCTGTCGTGGTTGTGGTGTGGTCTATTGTGTTGTTGTGTCGTGGTGTCTGTGAGCTGCTCAGGTGGACTGGGATTAGCCGTGGAGGCTGCTCTGTTTGATGTGCTCCACTGCCGATGTGTCCGTAGTCCTGAGCACATTCTGAGGTGACTCCACCCCCGCAAGCATTGCACTTGACTGAGGTGGAGTTGTAGTGTAGTCTTCTCTGGCATACACAGCAGGTGTCCTGAAAAAAGTTCCGCAAAATTTTGGGGGGAAAAAAACAAACAAAAAATTTTTACACTAAATTTAATTTTTTATTTTTAATTACTTTTTAATCAGAGTTCCTGACAGCAGGCAATAGTTCCACAGTTCCCTAACCAAATTTTCAATAGTCTTGTTAATTTAACCCAAAAAAGCTAAAAAACAAAAATCGCTTGCTAACCTCACGTGCAAGCCTTTATTCAGCAAAAACAGTTCTGATACGACCAACTTACAAGAAATAAAGAGTTCTACAGTTCCCTAATAGTCCCGAAAAAAGTTCCGCGAAATCCAGAAAAAAAAACAAAAAAATTACATACATTTTTTTTTTTTTGTAATTACTTTTTAATCAGAGTTCCTACAAAACTACATATCAAAATCTTTCTAAGGGCCGTCTTCTTAAGTAGTTCTAAAAATTTATCTGCCCTTTAAAAACAAATTTTGTTCTCAAAAAATATGTTCGAAGGGCAGATAAATTCTAAAATTCTAAATTTTTGTAATATTGCTCAATGGTTGAACCTTTGATTTATATTGTTTTTGTTAAAGAACGGACTATATTTTTATAAAAAAATAACTAAAATTAAATAAAGAAAAAATTGTGAAAACTTCTTAATATGTGGGGTGGCGGTAATTTTTTCGACCACTGTATTATAATGTACGTATCGTCGCCTGGGTAAAAGATTGCCGTATGTTAATTTCGGCAGGTTGTGGGAAATCGCGATTGAAGTTTGGAATGCAATTTCTCAAAAACGCGAGGATAGAATTTCTCCAGTCTCTGAAAATGTTACTAGTTCACAAAATTCTTAAATTATTTAATTTTTAATGTTTATTGTTAATTAGTTTTGAGTTTATGAAGGATTTTCTTTAGTAAAATTATGTCGTAATCGTCATTTGTTCACAATTTGGCAGCCACATTGTATGAAATACGACAAAATGTGATCAAAATTTCGACTAAATTAACAACACTTTATACGCAATATCTCGTAAACTAAAGGAGATATGGCTGCATCACTAACTAAATTTTTACTAAATCATCGAAAAAATTGTGGTCAATATCTCGGAAACTAAAGGAGATACCTAAAAACAAATAACACCAATCGAAAGACCTTATTTCAAAATATATTACTGCATCTATAACTAAAAATCGTCAAAACTGCGCTTACGACAATCTTTTACCCAGGCGACGGTATGCCAATGCCATCCTATAGGTAAGTAGGTATATTTTAGCAAAGGGCACATCAATACCTATTGAGCGGTAGGCTGCTTGTGGCGATTAAATAATTTTTGATCACCTGATTGGCTTATTGTATTGGCTATAGGATGGCATTGCCATACGTACATTATAATACAGTGGTCGAAAAAATTACACCCACCTCACATATTGAGAAGTTTTCACAATCTTTTCTTTATTTCATTTTAGTTATTTTTTATAAAAATATAGTCAATTCTTTAACAAAAACAATATAAATCAAAGGTTCACCCATTGAGCAATATTAAAAAAAAATGAAGCAAACTGGTAGAAATTACGAGCANAAGGTAGGCTAGTAACAATAATAATTTTTAGTTAAATCTGCACAAGTTATATATTTTAGCAAAGGGCACATCAATACCTATTGAACGGTAGGCTGCTTGTGGCGATTTTTGATCACCTGATTGGCTTATTGTATTGGCTATAGGATGGCATTGCCATACGTACATTATAATACAGTGGTCGAAAAAATTACACCCACCTCACATATTGAGAAGTTTTCACAATCTTTTCTTTATTTCATTTTAGTTATTTTTTATAAAAATATAGTCAATTCTTTAACAAAAACAATATAAATCAAAGGTTCACCCATTGAGCAATATTAAAAAAAAATGAAGCAAACTGGTAGAAATTACGAGCAAGTACCTTTTAGAATTTATCTGCCCTTGGAACACGTTTTTTGAGAAAAAAATTTGTTTTTAAAGGGCAGATATATTTTTAGAACTACTTGAGAAAACGGCCCTTAGAAAGATTTTGCGTATGCAGTTTTGTAGGAAGTCTGATTAAAAAGTAATTACATAAAAAAAAGGGTATGTAACAATTTATTTTTGTTTTTTTTTTCTGGATTTTGCGGAGCTTTTTTGGGGCTATTAGGGAACTGTAGAACTCTTTATTTCTTGTAATTTGGTCGTATCAGAACTGTTTTTGCTGAATAAAGGCTGCGCGTGAAGTTAGCAAGCGATTTTTGTTTTTTATCTTTATTGGGTAAAATTAACGAAACTATTGAAAATTTGGTTAGGGAACTGTAGAACTATTGCCTTGCTGCCAGGAACTCTGACAAAAAAGTAATTAAAAAAAATAAAAAATAAAAAAATTTAGTGTAAAATTTTTTTTTGTTTTTTTTTTTCAAAATTTCGCTGGACTTTTTTCTGGCCTATTAGGCGTAAGTTGATGGCATCAGAACTGTTTTTGCTGAAAAAAGGCTTGCTGCTTGAAGTTAGCAAGAGACTTTTGTTTTTTAGCTTTTTTGGCTTTAATTAACAGAACTATTGAAATTTTGATTATGGAACTGTAGAACTACTGCCTTGCTCTCAGGAACTCTGATTAAAAAGTAACTTTAACAAAAAACGCTTGCGAACTTTACACGAGCGGGTTAGATCGCCGAAACAACAGCCCTTCGTCGAGTACAACCCGAGTCATTCCGGTACGTAGAACCGGCTGTCGTGGGAATGGTCAATTTTCGCTAGGCCAGCTGCGCTGACGTCCCTAATTCCCTATTCGGTGGTGTGCGAACAATCGCATTCGAGCGGTTAATCAAATACATACTCGACTATCAACCGTTGCTAATCGGCTATGAGATTAACCGAGTAGGATGTTCCATTTTTAACAAGAGCTTTGCGATGACGAGCTCAAAAACGCGTCTTTATTTTATCGATTTCACTGGAGAATATTTTGAAAAATAATAAGATCACTTTTACTGAAAATTTTGTTTTCGTCTAAAAATATTTAGTGCCCCTCGTAATATTATAAAACGAGTATGTATGTAAGTACACTGGTTAAAAATTATGTAAAATAAGAGGAAATAAAACAAAAGAAAATCAAAACAATAAAATAAAATTTAAGAGATTAACAGCCAATTTCACGAAAGCGATTTAAGTGAAAAATGATTTTAATATTTTGAACTTTATATGGAAATTGACGGAATATAAGAAATCATTTTGCAGTTAAACTGCTGGCGAAATCGGCTATAAGTAAGTTAAGTTAAAATGAAGTTAATTTTTAAATTTTAAGTATGAAATATGAATAAATATTAAAATTAAAATTTTATATAAGATTTTATGCGTAAGCACACAAAAACCTTATGCACCAACACCAAGCCACATTAACACCAACATATGTATAATTTAATTTTTCTAAGCAACCACAAATTAATGGAATCAGAAATAATACTAGAACTGTTGTATAAAAACTTAATTTTCACGTAGCAATATTTTATCGAAAACCCATTTATCCATGAACACATCGCACATTTGATAATATCCAAAATTATTTCAACTTTGAATTTTGTGGAAAAACGCAATCAAAGTTCGATCAATTCACAGTTGGTATACCAAAATATAGATGGAAAGACACATACATTCTCCATTTTGGGGAAGCTAAATCGTCTGTTAAGCTGAACATATTCTCCTTATCAAGCTTATTAATTGTATGTTGAAATCACCAAAAACGTAAATTTTGAAGTACATCTGAATATTATTAAACATGCGATATGTACATACATATATACATATACATACATATGTATGTACAAAGTTAGCATTCTCATTTTAAACTAAAATTTGTTTAAGCAATGTTGCAGATTTGCTGATGGAGAAACACCTACAAAACTATTTATACTGGCATTCTTGAATGTAGTCAATTTTGAAAACAGCGCGTGATTTTACAAAAAGATTTTAAATTCATTTAGATCCTTAAAATACAAATTTCATGTCCTTTAACAATAATAATAAAAGCCAAAACTATTTCAAAATGTTTAAACCAAAACAATAATATCGAACACTTTAAATCGGAAGTTGAAAAATTCGTTTGAACTGAAGATCTTTACGATCAGTACATATGTTAGCATTTCTAATGCCTGCGCTTTTTTAATGAATTTTTAAAGCCTATACATTAGTGGAAATAGTAGTTGATCGTCACACGATGTTTAAAGGCACGGACGAAGGGAGCTTAGAATTTCTTTGAAATTTTTACAGTCTTACTTGTCGTCCCATGTCCGTCTGGAGTAGTGATCGTGTGAGTCTGGTGAGATGCGGCAAGCGCTCGTTTCATTAATATCTCGTTGCATTCCTCTGCAGTGAGATGAATCGGCCCGATGGGACTGAAATGCGTTTTAGCGCCAGCTGTTGTTAGAATGGTTTGTGACTTCGTGTCGACGATACCATTAGTCAGAGAATGTGACTGATCTGATTGATCTACAAGTAGGTCTAAATCAAAAGCAAATATTTTGTTTTGTTTTCAAACACTATTAAATATACTCGATTGGTGTGCATGGACTTGGATGCTTACAATTTTTGTCGCAGTTAATACTGAGCACTTGTTGTTGGTCTTGTTTCTTCACCACCGATGGTGTAGTAGTACCTGCAGTTATGACTCTGAAATAAAAGATAAATACCATTGCTATACTATAAATCAATATTAATTTTTAATTTGTTTTTTATTTTTAAGACATATTTTTACAAATTAAATATATTCCATAAGCGAACGCTCGACTTACCGTTGAGCTCCTGGTGCAAACGGTTCATTTACGACAAACATCCGACGAACAACTCCACCTTTCTGTGCTGTCAATCCCCCTTTAACATCTTTTTGCACAGTTAAAGCTCCATCTGTAGACAGTAGATATGGCATCTGCAAACAAATATTATTTTAATATGGATTTAATAGATATAGTAGTAGATTTGATGTGCATATATGTATGTATGTATGTATATATCATTTTCTATAGGTACAAAAGACCCTAAATGTAATTTTTGGGAGTTCGTAACACTAAACTAAACGGATCTGGTGATGGTGACTCTGAAAGGTATGTTGTTAAAAAGAACCCAAAAAATAATATGTGGTTTAATATGACAATGTCAGTGGCTTGGAGCACAGAAATAGCACTAAGAAACTGCCAAAATTAATAAAAAATTAAATTATACTTGTTGTTGTTGTTGTTGTTGTTGTAGCGGCTACTAAGCCCCGTTCGGGACGGTTCATCCATCATCGTTGTCGTCTATTTCAGCTAAGGGGAGGCCCAGGAAGTGTGCGACTTCCACAGGGGCTGTCCATAGGGACAGGGGCGTTAGCTGAGTGGGATTCTCAGGGCATGTGAAGAGGTGCCGGGAGTCATGTGGCGACTCTCCACATGCCGGGCAATGGTTGGGCACATCCTCGTTGATTCTGCTCAGGTAGCTGTTGAGCCTGCTGCAATAGCCAGAGCGAAGTTGGGCTATTGTTGTGCGGGTCTCCCGAGGCAGACAAAGTTCTGTCCCGTCCACGTCCGGTGGTTGTGTGCCTAGAACGGCATTCACAGGGCGGGAGTCTACATAACTTGAGACTGATTCCCTGTGAATGCCGTTGAGGGCCTGTCGGTAGGTTGTCGGGTCCAGAGGTTGTTTAATATACCTCTGGACTTCGTCTGTCAGTTCGTAAAGATGCCTCCTGACGTGCCGTGGCGAGGGCTCTTCCGCGAGCAGTTGTCCGCTGGGATGGCCACGTCTGTAGCTCCCAGCGAGGAACTGCTTGCAAAGCATTAAGTTATGCTCCTTTACCGGGAGCATCTGGGCCTCGTCATGAAGGTGATGTAGAGGCGTCATCAGGAGGCATCCTGTCGCGGTACGTAATGCCGTGTTAAAATTTAAATTATACTTATACATATCGTCGATGTTTTTGCAAAACCGCCCAACGGCACTCAAATTTTACAGGAGAGCGAAAAAACGGTTTATTCTTTGAAGGCATTGCCTTGATAGGCGGTATTTTCTCTATTTTACAAATCTGTTGTTTAATAACTGGGCGGGGTGATGGGCGGTTTTGCAAAAACATCGACGATATGTATTACTAGTAAAAATATTGTATGGGGGAGAAATCTGTCACGTACGTTATCACATTTTAATTCAAAGTTAAACCAATAACGAATTGCTTCTGATTAAAAATGAATTGGTTGGACGAATGTCAGGTCTCACATCATGGAAACATCCATATAGGATATATTTTACAATACGAAAAAATCTCACTTCAAAATTAAGTGTTTTGGATAAATTTGTCTTTCAGTGCACAAAGATAAAATATGGTTATGGTTTCTTACCAGTCACATTCATGAAAATAATAGTTACATAGAACTATGAAATCGAATCGTTTGGTATTTTATTGAAACGAATTTTATACACTAGTTATTTATCTATGTTAAAAAATATCTTTCACTGTTGTATAAGTTCCGAAGACAGTTATAATTCACAATTGTTCACTTTCTGTAGTAAAAGGTCCCACCAGTCCCAATGCAATGACACTATAGTATTTCTGCAAAAATTGAAAACATATGTCGCTTAATTTTCACCATGTCAAATTCAATGGCATTTGTACTCAAATAAGTGAAAGCACACTGTCAAATGGGATTAAAAACCGGTATTTCGATTGATTGCGATCAGGATAGATCTTTAGTCGTGTACATACGCTAAAGGTATGGATAAAGGAGATAAAATTGTGTCAAAATATGTCGGTGCTTTATCCAAAACTTAAGATGCGGTTAAACGTGGCAATGCAAGCGCCTTTTCTACGCATTTTGCTATCATAATGCGAAATCTAAAGTCTACTTTCCGATGTAAACAAACAGAGTCCTTTTGCAAATTTGCAGAAATCAGTTTCGAAAATAAAAATTGCAAGGCCTAATTGCAACAGAAATTAGGCAAATCACTTTCGAGAAATAAATTCAACTTGCTCGTGCTGGACTAGCAATTTTAATTTTTGTTGCAAGTGCTGTCAAACCAATCGAGTGTTGCCGTTCAATGCGTTTTTTGGCGAATTTGTATAAATATTATAAAAATGTGGAATAAAATATGAAAAATACGTGTAATTAATTGATTCTACTGATATGGAGTATTTAAATACTAATGCATTAGACATTTTGTGCCTGTTTTGTGCACATTTTAGCAGGTTTAGTATATTTTTCAGGTCATTAATTTTGTTATAAGCATAAAAATGTCTGGTAACATAGTTCAAAGTGGAGTGGTCGGCATTCACCATGTAAACAGACAAAAATTAGTATCGGGAAAGTTTGATTTTCAGAAATAAAAATTGCTTTCGAAAGCCACTCTACATGCAAGGTGTACTGCTCCTGCAATCTCTTTTGAAAATTCTTGAGTTTGACAGACTTGAAAAGGACTTGCATTTGCCGCGTCTAACAGCTACTTTACTCGTGTAAGTTGTCTTGCTCATGGCCTCAATAAAGTATGTGAAAAAATTCCCGAAAGCAATCAACAAGTAGACCAACTAATTGTCAGTATCTGTATCAAAAAAGTGTTTATGATGGCGCCATCACGCGTGGGTCTTTACCTGGAGGTACATACCTGGAAGCAGTTAGCTACTATGTATGTCAGATTGTTGGAGCCAGTGGAATCAAAAATTATTAAAATATCCAAAGAGTTATTGGATGACGAGAACCTTCGTCAACCGCTTATTTTTATTTCGTGCAATTCTGGTTATCTAATTACGTCTATTTAGACATAGGAATCATTCGCTTTATCACTTGCGACTCAAATACAGGGTATATCGGAAGTCAAACAGTTGCTTCAACAAAGTGCATATACAGCAGTGATAGAGAAACTTAAATCGGTCGCAACGGAAAACAAAATAAAAGAAAGTGCTGAAAAAATTTAAGAAAAAACTATTACAGCTGGTGGCAATTTGAAATATAGCATTAAAGAAACGTGTGCTTTTAAATACGCTCCGATTATGTCCGTTGAAGTGGAAAGAACTTTCTCTATGTTTGGCAGTATTTATCGTGGCGTCAGGCGTAGTGTTCTGTTTGAAAATTTGGCTTACTATTTATTTGCTGCAACAATCATTTTAATTAGAGTAATTTTTTTACTGTGACACTTTTAAACAACCTCGCCTTTTTTTATTTTAAGTCATATACTTTAAATAGACTTTTATCTGCTATTGCAGAGCTTCCTAAAGTAGGTTCCGCGTAACCCAAGGGTTCCGTAGAAAAGTCACCGGGGTTCCGCGAAATTAATTTTGATATGAATAAGCACGGCGGTCGGTTTGAGTTGCACCCAGAAATAAAAGTTCTATAAACAGCTTGACCGAGACGCAATTATCTATTTACAAGTATACATACATATGTACTGATAGTATGATTGCCGTACTGAGTGCCATACGTTACATAAGAGCGTTGAGCTTGCGCTTGACAGCTTGTTTTTTCTCACTGGTATGTGTTGTTGGCCGCTGTAACCAAAGGGTTATATACAACGTTCTACAAAGAACTCGATGAATTGCCAAATGAATTGTGAAATGTCATAACTGGGCACTTGGTAAATCACCTGAAATCTTCGTCAGATTATTTTTCGGATGGTAGTAGTAATATCGGTTTGGTACAAAATCCATTTACGAAGCATTCATAGACCTTCAGAATACTTCGACATTGAAACACACATTTGAATCTGTGTCTCTGAAAGAGTTTTGGGTTAGTGTTAAAAGTAAATGTCATGAAGTCGCTAAAAATGCCATCTTAACTTTGCTTCCTTCTATTACAACGTACTCTGTCAACAGGGGTTTCAGCTTACACTTAATACACAAAAAACAAATATTGTTCGAAATTAGATGCTACCCCAGAAATGTGCATACAGCTTTCAGACATTATATCGAACTATTTATATAATACCTATTTAACAACAGTGAAACAATTTCATTCTTTACATTAAAATTTAAAGTATGTATACTAGGGTGCCCATAGAAAATGCATTTTTTGAAATTTCAAGACCCTACCCCCTAATTTTATTCGTTTTTATGAGAAATATTATTGCCTACTTTTATAGATTTTGTAAAGGTCATTTAGAGGTCGCGACCTGTCGATTTAGGTCAGAAAATAGGATTTTGTAGCTTTATGGGTTTTTGAAAGACTGTTTTTTATTCGATTTTAAAGATCGAATATGATCTGGCAAGAGGATATATAGACTTTTAAAATGGTATATAATAATCTGTTGTCGGACTTGGCTTGTTGGGATTTTTTATCGGGTAAAATAAAAAAAATATGTCTTAATTTTTTAAATTTTGCCCATCGATAATTGCCACAATTTCAAAAATTTCTAAAATTAAATCTATTTTTAAATAGACTGATTGCTCATTTATGGCAATCGCATAAAAATTGTCGAAGTAAGGCGACTTTTCTTAAATATGACCTTGAATTTATATTGTTTATGTACCGGACTTTCATACTTTTTGAGCAGAGTGGCTAAGGGATTCATCAATATTTATTCAAAATTGATATATACATTCGCTTTTTAGCAAAAAAATTGGTTTTTCCAAAAAATTTTGGAAAATGGGGGTGGCACCGCCCACTTATATCATATACATATGTATGTGTATCTCCAAAACTACTTGACCAATCTCGACCAAATTTTATATACACATTGCGCTTAGCCTCCTTAACTTCCGGCTTGAATGTTTTGAAATCGGACAAAACCCACTCCTCCTAAAGTATAGCTAGCTTTGACTTTTTTGAAACTACCGTTACGTTGGTGGAGCCCGTGGTTTTTGTCCGAGTTTAAAAATTGGCGCTTAAGAAGCCTAATCGCAATGTGTGTTCCAAATTTGGTCGCGATCAATCAATTTGTTTTTGAAATACACATATATGATATAAGTGGGCGGTG